GTATTATTAAGAAAAGTATAAAGAAAATCCTAACACTGAGATTATCACAATAGCCCGTCGCGCGAGGCATAGCTACAGCACCCCCAGAACGCATACAAGGCAAAACTAGGTCAAACCGAAGCACCGCGCTCAGGGCGGAAGGACACCCAGAAGTAAGCCTCGGGCCCGAAATCAATTTTCACCCAAAACACGCCACTTCTTACACTTTCCAGCCATGTTAGTAGTTAATCCCATTTTGCAGCAGATTATGAGAAATGTAAACTCAAACATGAACCATCGGAACCCCTTCGTCACTTTTTTCCGGGCACTACAGTGGACCCCTGTCGCGGAAGAATTGGTGTGTGCACCGTTAAACATGAGTATGATTGGAACCTACCTTTACACAGAGATCTGTGGTGTCTCCTAGTGACTCCACCATGTCTCTGTGTGTCTGCATACACCCCACTGTGATGGCTGACATCTGAACAGAGAAAATACATGTAAATCACATTGATTGAAATAACTACCAGTAGCTATGTGGAACTGTGTTACAGCCTAGAGCAAGTTGTTTCTCTTCTTAGGCATTACATGTTTTCTTCTCAAGCTAGGACATGTTTTGCCATATTGCCATTTCTACTTCTGCAAATCTTCATCTCTATTCCATTTCTCAGGAGGAAATTCCATGCTGAAAGCTTCTTTCCTACAACTTTATCAGTATACAATATGCTTCCTTGTGAAAGCGTCCCAAATTTAATTTCTTGGTTAATGGATTTTTCTAGAAAACTAATGGAGCAGGCGGGCAAAAAAAAAATAAAAATAAAAACAGGCCTAGGCATCCTATTATGGCCCAAAATGGTACAATTATAGGAGCCATGAAGTCAACACAACAGGCTGGTTCAAAATTTAAACAATGAATGTTGAACTTTTAATGATACCATTGCAATGAAAGATGGAATAACTGTAACAACGTTAGGATGAAAAGGACTGTTTTCAACTGTTCAGGGCAAAATATGAGCATCTTGCAGTTGATTCTGAACAGAAAAAAATGAAGCGGCTAATCCGTTAACCAAGAAATTAAATTGGTGTGGCCTAATGGGTACAACCTTAAACTTTTAAGTCTAAGAAAAACAAAACATCTGTCTTATTACGTTTACAATTGATAACTGTAACCCAAACAATCATAATGATCACACATATCTCTGGTACTTGAAGGCATGACATAATTTCTTGTTTATAATAACAATACATTAACATTACATAATCATAGATATATAAATAGATAATAGGGAACCTACTGTTACTTACACTATGTAGTGTTCCCCGTAGGTTTCCCATCATGATCTCCAGACTCTCTGACACCTGTTTAGCCTGCTTCTCCAGGTGCACCAACACCCGAGGGTCAATAGGGGGCATGTCAGTAGCTGGAACAGACCAAAACAAAACAACCAATCAGGGGCTGCCAATGTAGGCAACGTCAGACATTGAAGTCACATTAAGGTATTGTAGAGGTAAGGGTACCGATTTTTTTTTGTTAGTCATGAAAAAGTCTTGTCTAAAGTACAGTCAAACTTGCCCAAGCGACCACTTCTATAAGCCGGCCATCTGGCCATTATATTAAAGGACTGCTTTTTCTTGGTGCCGATTCTTTTCCCATATGTATAACTTATATAAGCATTAAGGGCAGGGCTCGAAATACTGGGTGCATGCGCACCTTTAAAATGCACCCAAATTTGGAGCTGTGCACCCAATTTTTTTTTTACCCAACGAGCGTTGCGTAGCGAAAATCCGGATGGTACCCAGGCTAGTCGTGACTGGCACTATTAGTATTTGGGACCACACATATGGCCCAATCTCTGATGGTAACGAATCAATTTCACTTTGGCTCAATGGGGCAGTCTTGTAAAATGGGTGGAAAGTTTGCCGTGGTTTTCTTGTCGATCCTCTGTCCTATCTTGTTGCCATCGAGGCTTTTCGAAGAAGAACACCACTTATCCTCGGTCCCCTGGGTGGTCATCTTAGACAGGTTTGACTGTACTGAGATCATTCAGAAAGATCCTTTAACTTTAAAGTACTGAGTGCAAGTAATAAAGCAGATGATAATGACATGACAATTGTTTCTTGGTATTCTTTTTGCCTGTATACTTTAAGTTCAAGACTAATAGAATGTAATACAATCTAAACACCAGTATGCCTCCATACTATAATAATAGTGCACCAATCAAATGGCACGTGTGAAACCTTTTCTACTGCCTACAGCCTCGCTGGTAGCTGCCGTGTGCTCTTTTTGCCCAAGGATGAGTTCTAACTCTGGGTCTGTGGGAGACACAGACAAAACAACAATACAGGGGAGCAGGGGTTAGACTCAGGGGAGTGCATTTTTTTAGCAAAAGTTGCTACAAGAAAACAGTTGCAATGCATGTAAGGCCACACTATGGATGACATTGTCTGAAGACCCCCAAAACTAATTGTGAGTACTAGTGGGCAAATAAAAATAAGACCGAAAAATGTTAAACCACAGGAATCCAAAGCTGGTATTGCGAATTTATGGTTGTACAAGACTAATTTTACAAGTCGGCACATGTTGGCCCTTTGCAGCATTTATGAGTGACAGCATAGTTCTTGAGTTTTGATCCGTGGAGCCTCATAGCCTGGGTGCCGTCCTCTATCTGTGGTTAATGTCGCTTATTGTTGCTAGCTACCATGGACTACAGAGGATGGCACCTAGGCCAGAGCCTCGTTGGAGGCTATGTTTTTTTTACAACAGGCAAAAATTAATGCGCGCGCGGATGTCATCCATAAAATTAAATCAGTGTGGCCTTACCGCAAGAAAACGTTGTAATGCATGTAAGGCAATTAAAAGAATTTAACATTAGACAAGAAAAAATAAATGAGTGCTAAAAACGTAGAAATATAGTGAAAAGACAATGAAAAACTAGAAAGGCCAATATTTGCTTTGGAGCAAATACAGCGATGGGTTCACCACATTTTACCACATGGCAGGGAAAGAATGAGAAACACAAGGGAAAACAATGATTTACCAGGGTTCTAGCTAGGATTTTATATTAGCGTAGTGGTACCTGATGCACGTCGAGGGAGCGAAGCGACCGAGAGGGGGGTTGGGGCGGAAGGGGGGATTTCCCCCCTTCCGCGCTGCGGAGCTTTTAAAAATTTAAGCTTAAAAAGCAGCCATTTGAGGGATACCCAAAGGGAAAAAATGTCATTTCTAAGGTATGTACAATGTATCCTTGATTAGTAATTTTTATATTTTTGCAGCTTGGAATCTTCACAAAATACAGAAGATACTCCAAATCAGACACAACCAAGAACAGACTCTGAGATAAATTAAATGTTAAACATAGCATCTGGTGTGCAAAGTTGTAATATTCTACATGCAAAAAAAGTAACTATAAATAATATAAAGAAATACGTCTAGTTTTGCCTGCTAATAGTGTCTCATTATGAGGCACTTTTAATCTCCTTTGTGCCATTTCTGTTCTGCAAAACTGGGCCGAAATTTGACGTGATTCAACACGTGGCTTTGTTGTTATTGCCAAGCTTTGATGCTGACATGATTACAGGCACACCCAGTATGTCGACATAGATCGCACAGTAGCTAAGAGCATGAAATCGGCATGGCACCAGCACTGACGCATATGTGGCAGGAAAACCCACGTGTGTCACAAAGATCACAAACGCCCGTAAAGAAAAACGGCAAAAATTTGACAAGAGAGCAATAATTTGTATTTACTTGTTTAAACTATGAACGGATCCAAGGGGTGAACTCCCTTGTTTAGTTTACTAAAGTGGCTAATTTTCAACCAACGCAAGTTTGCCGCTGTGGGCTTTAGAGGCCCCTCCCCTTTTCGGGAGCCGGCTGGAACTGTGAAGCACTTTAATTATTAGGCTGGTGACTAAGTACATTGTAACTCTTTGTATTTTTTTCACCTTGGCAAGATATAGAATTAATGCAATTTAGTGGAAGGTGTTTATGTCCAGAGTTACAAGGAGAGATCTGTTGAACACGGGAGGAAACATATTTGTGCTACATACATCGTGGCGTGGGAATTGTTAAATAGGCCAGCCCATATACAATGTGTGGCGTCCCAGAGGGAAAGCCGACACTATGAAGGGGCGGAACATCCCTTCTACAGACTGGGCTAGACACCCTGACGCCAGTGTCTGGGCGTCAAGAGACTGCCGCTGTCACTCACAGAAGGGCGGCAACACAAGTTGTAAAGAAGCCAAGGCCCCGCCTAGGCACGCCCCATTCTCCTGGGAGGGCCGCCACGTTCGTTACTTTGCTAAAAAAAACATTTTTCACATTTGACCTGGCATTTTTGAACAAAGAAATGCAGTCACAATGCCGCTACGTTGTACTGAAAATTAGCGTAGCGGGGGAAAATTGGCGTAGCGGGTCAAAATTTTAGCGTCGCGGGCCCCGACGCTACTTAGCGCTAGTTAGAACCCTGTTTACATTGATATAACTATAATATGAAGTAACATACAACTAAAACAACAGTTGGATAGCTATTCCCTACTTTATTGGTTAGGATTTTTAATTGCATAATGCAAACTGTTGATTTTCAAAATAAAATAAAAAACGTTCATGCCCCGCATTCCAATGCTGGAGCAGAAAAGCTTGAAATACCTACCAAAACACTTGAATAAAGACATACTGTCAGTATGGAAATGCTCTGTGCAGGTGTTAATCAAGTTAAATCCCAACAGCCAATCAGCAAGAAATGCTCTGTGCAGGTGGAAATGCTCTGTGCGGGTGTTAATCAAGTTAAATCCCAACAGCCAATCAGCAAGAAGTATAGAGGAAAGCTGCATGCCTATTGGTTGATGCCCTGCATTCCATTGTGATGACTCATGCCCAGACGTGGTAAACACGGCACACTAACACAGTAATACATTTGCTATAACACAGCCAAAAAACTCAAATAAAACCATTCTAAAAGCCTGTATCACTAAAAATTTAAAAAACGCCTAGGGGTATTTGCCCACTGTACCTCCATACCAAATTTCAGGACCTTAGGCCCTAAAATGAAGAAGCTGAATCCATTTAAAGATATGGCAGGAGGAGGAGGAGAAGGAGGAGAAGGAGGAGAAGAAACATCAGAAAAAGCAATATGGGTTCACCACCACTTCGTGGTGTGGTGAACCCATAATAATGCCAACGATAACTGATTAATCAAATACTAGTATTACTGTAGTAGTAATTAAAAATACTAAAGATATGATGTAGAATTAACTGAAATACAGGGGAATCAGCAGGTGCAGAACAAAGAAAGTTGGGGAATTATTTCTTTGTTCATAGTACAGCTTGCAGTTTAGAAGTGACTGGGAAAACTGCAAATATTAAAGTACCACCAAAAAAAATCATGATTTACAGTACTTAAAAGCTTACCATTGGTCTGTCTGTTTGGGGTGCTCTTCTTTATCTTCTGTGTTAAGTCTGTAGCCACAAATGACACCATGTCCCCTTCCCTGCTCACAAACCCTTGCTGTGCCAGACCCCACGAGCCTCCCGCCGCACCCTTCTTTTCCTCTTCTCTCCTTCCCTCAGTTCTTATCCCTGACAAGGGGTCATGTAGTCTCCTGTATAAGTCTATACTGTTAACTAGTGGGATGGAGTCTGGCCTCTTGGGTTCACTGTTGGCTGTGGCCCCTTCCAAAGATGTAGGCTTGCTCTCTGCCATTGCTCCTTCTAGAAGTTCTACTGTGCTTCCTTCTTCTGTGAACTGTGAGTTGGTGCCACTCGTGCTCTCTTCTGTAGCAAATGTTTCTTCTGAACTTTCAGTTCTGTCACAAATGTTTCCATTTGTTGACGAACCTTCCTTGTGTAGTAATTTGGATTTTGTTCCTGGTTCTATAGTAATGATATCGTCGTTTTCAACAGAATCATAATTTTGTTTATCCTGTTTTTTTACCATTCTCAAATTGCCAGGATCGTCCAAACGGACAACGTCGTTCTTCGGTGCCTCTTGAAGCAGCCTCGAAGTCTTTTCCTCGGACATAGCAACATTGTCTCTTCCACTGTCGTTCACAATATCCAGTTTCCCACTATCCGGAAGTGGCCCTGGATTCCCAGTGATCTGTTTACCACTGTTGTTTTCGTCAAGACTTGAAACGCTTTTGCCGGCGTTTTCTTCCGCAGAAAAACGTTCATCCTCTACTTGAAGTCCTACCATGTCGTCTGTAATGTCCACGTCGGGTGAATCTTGTTGTCCGTTCGCATGTCGTTCTTGAGGGGAGTGTTCTTGTCGCTGATTTGGGTCCGTCCTTGGTGTTGACGTACCCTTCCCACCGGATGCGACATCGGTATAGCCACCGTCGGAGGCCTTATTCTTCGGTTCTACAATCACTTCAGACATTCTAATACACTTCAAGCTATACTTTGAAATACTACGTCCTTCTCTGATCCGTAATATTCACTGTTACAGCCCAAATCACGACGCAAATTGAGTCAAACCTGACCAAAACTCGTCTCCGACGACTTTATATTCCCGACTGCAACCATCTTGGATTTCTGGTCACGATCAATCTGTAAGCTGGTCTCTCATTGGTCGGTGTGTGCACCAGGACTCTAAATGAACCAATCATGGAAGAGAACTCTTCCCCGGACACAAACCTTGCCCTTTGACTTTTCGTCTGAATTCAGGGCCACAAAACGCAAAATCCAAACAAAATATAGCATGCCAAACCGCAGATACGAGACTCTTTTGAAATATGGAATCTATTAGAAATTATATATAAGATATAAATTTCTGTGGGAAAGTGCACTTCAAGTTCATCACTATTTTATATGATTTTTTTCTTGATCGTTGTCCTCTGCGTTTCCACGCCTTCGCTACTTGGAGCGACTGTTTCGATGCAAGTCTACAACTTAGTACAAGAGTGAAAGTAGAGTAGAAAACAAGACGTTCAACTCACCAAGAATCAAGAAATCTTCAAGATACGTCGGTAGAAGCTGGCCAGGAACTAGTTTTGGAAGCTAAATCTTAAACCAAAATGGTTATGATCTGAATCAGAACCAAGAGAAGCGTGGAAACGATGCAGAGTCCAAGGGTCGCTGTGCTGAACTTCAGCACGGTCAAAACGTGTTTCATCAGTGTACCCAGTGCGTGGGTAAAGGAGTTCAAACTATCTCAGGTGATATTAATAATAGTAATAATGATAATGTAACAACAATAATTATTTCTTTATTTATTATTATGTTGTTGTTGTTGTCCTTGTTTAACGTCTAATATATCGCTAGACGTGGTCACTTGGTGCTCGTTGTCACGTGGTTCAGTTCAGAGTCAAAAAGTCTCTCTAGGTATTTAACTCTTGGTGCCTTGTGCTTGAGTGAAGCTTGAAGTGTCTTTATGAGAGCGCATCGAAGCGGTGTGTACTCTCAATGTACCGGGAGAGGGCCAGGTACATCTGGTTGTTCGCTGCTTCAGGAAGGCCTTCTCTCATTCCGGCTAGGGTGACGATATCCGTGTCCCTGTTTTCTTCTGCTGTGTTGTATGTCTCGTGTATGCTGTCAGCTTCTAGCAGCATGTGATGTCTTTCGTTGTCGTAGCGAGGGCAGTGGTACAGGTAGTGGTTGGTGGTCTCCAGAGCGTCGCAGTTTGGGCAGTGTGGTGGAACCTCGGGGTTTTTCCAGTTCTGGTATGCATTAAGTCTGGTATGACCGCTCACTAGCTGATTTATGATGATTTGTGTGGTTCTTCTTCCGAGTGTTCTGCCCTTCTTCTTCATGTGTGTGCCGATTTTTTGCATGTGTTCGCTTCGTGTGTTATGAGTTATTGATATGAGTTATTGATAATATTATTATTTATAGTTAACGTTATACAGCTAACAGTAACGGGTTAACGTTAAATAGATAATTTAATATTTTTCAAATTATTATATTCTATAGGATTATGGTATTCTAATATATGTATTTACATCAATTTATTGTTTGAAACCATGCCAGAAAATATGCCAGATATGATATGTGATATACACATTCATATGCTAACACGTTATATCGATTCATTTATAATTATGAAACTCCACTCCACTGTTACACGACTACAAAATAAATTCATTGTTACAACTTGAAAGTTTTCACAGATAAACACTGACACAACAATGTTTAAACATGGAAAAAAAAAGTTCCCTCACCTAGAGCTTTCGACCAGTCACTCTGGTCTTCCTCAGTAGACTGACCCAGTGAGGCTTGTCACGTGGCCCCTCTGAAGTGTGACGTCAACACTGGGTCAAAGGTACTATCTGGTAGACGATGTTGGCCCCCGTCTCGGTTCAATGAGATTAGGTGAGAGAACTTTTTTTTGTGTTGGACCAGAAGTTTTAACGTTAAACATGTAACTACCAACACAGATGAACTTTCATGATAAGGCCACACCAATTTAATTTCTTGGTTAACAGATTCGCCCGCTTCATTTTTTTCTGATTTGCAAAAAATACAAAAATAAAAATTCAGAATCAACTGCAAAATGCTCATATTTTGCCCTGAACAGTTGAAAACAGTCCTTTTCTTCCTGGTTGTTACAGTTATTCCATCTTTCAATGCAATGGTATCATTAAAAGTTCAAAATTCATTGTTTAAATTTTGAACCAGCCTGGTGTGTTGACTTCATGGCTCCTATCGTACCATTTTGGGCCATAATACAGGTTGCCTAGGCCTGTTTTTATTTATTTATTTTTTTTGCCCGCCCGCTCCATTATTCTTCTTGAAAACTCTGTTAACCGAGAAATTAAATTGGTGTGGCCTAAGACACAACAATAATTTAATTAAGTTATCTTGTCTGCTTCCAACAGTTGGATCAGACTAGTGCAGTGTTTGAAGTGACAGGAGATGGGGGACAGAAGGTGTATGTTACCTGGTCAGGTGAGACTGTCAGGGACAGGACCAGGACGTCTCTCACTCAGGAGGATGGGGTGGAACTCAGCGGCATGTACGGGCAGAGACTGGGGCTCAAGCACAGCCAGGAAGTAAGTAATCATCAACATGTACCTAAGTAACCTTCTAGAATCATCAACATGTAACTAACCCTTGTCCTGCTGGCATTTTTTACACAATATTTTCAAATAATTTGAAGGTCACAGACCGTTGATTTTTTTGTAGCCCTGCGGTGGCGTAGTTACTTCTGCATTCATTGCGTTTCCTTGCGGTGTGATGCGTTACACGAGAAACACCCACAAATTGTACATATGTATTATATAGAGCACTATATAGATGGTACTGTATGTGAAACCCATATATATATATGGGCCATGCAGGACAAGGGTTGTACCTAATGAAGAGGGAGAGAGCTACCAGCCATTTCAACTTTCTATATCATGTTTAAAGTTAAAACTTTTGTTCCAACATAAAGAATGGTCCTTAGTAGAGCTTTCAATCACCGTAGTAGAGCTTTCAACCAGTCACTGTGGCCTTCTTCAATAGCCTGACCCAGTGAGTGTGGCATCAGGGCCCATCACCCCTCACTCAACTGCAACGGCCGATATCGTTTGCCAGATACCTTTGACCCGGTGTTGACGTCACACTTCAGAGATGCCACGTGACAAGCCTCACTGGGTCAGTCTAGAAGACCAGAGTAAATGGTTGAAAGCTCTAGCTGAGAACAACTCTTTTTATTGGAACTTAAGTTTTAACATATCAGTACCAACACAGATAAACTTTCATGACAACTTTCTATGATAAGGAGTTCTGGCAATTGGGTTTTAAGTGAATGTTCCTGCTCAATAACATAAAAACCTGCTGTTGTGAACTTTCTTTTTTAAATTTGTTTGATCAGCTACTAGTACTGCAGTTCAACAAGGCATGCCTTAGGCCACACCAATTTAATTTCTTGGTTAACGGATTTTTCTAGAAAAATAATGCAGCGGGCGGGCGAAAAAAAAATAAAATAAAATGGGCCTAGGCATCCTATCTTGGCCCAAAATGGTACGATAGGAGCCATGAAGTCAACACACCAGGCTGGTTCAAAATTTAAACTATGAATTTTGAACTTTCAATGATACCATTGCATTGAAAGATGAAATAACTGTAACAACTAGGATGAAAAGGACTGTTTTCAACTGTTCAGGGCAAAATATGAGCATTTTGCAGTTGATTCTGAATTTTTATTTTTATTTGCAAATCAGAAAAAAATTAAGCGGGCGAATCCGTTAACCAAGAAATTAAATTGGTGTGGCCTTAAAAGTAAATACTACACGATTACTAGTAGTGACAGGTGTTGATGATATAATGATATTCTGCAGGTGTTGGTAAGGTTGCTATCCAGTGTCCCCACCTGTACACGTCTGCATGTGGAACCAGTCACTGTGGACGACTGGGAAATTCTGGTAGGTGTCATCAGTTTGAATCAGCTAAATCCAATGAATTACTAGTAGTATTATGTTTACCTTCATAGAAGGAAAACATTTTGCTTTTGCTCTGTTTCTCTTTCATCTCCAAACAGGTAAGGTCAACTTACTGCACCTGCGTGAAACCCGTAATGTATTGTACATAGCACTTTGGCAGAACATCTCATATATGGTCGTATTCGCATAATATAAAGTTAACATTCTGTCTGTAGTTTCCAAATGTTATGTCAGAAAAAATTTTGTCTTCAACAGTCAAAATTCTGATGCAACGTTGACCAAAAATCCAAGAAATACCATGAAAAATGGGGGTTTTGCACAGGCACAGTACATTCTGCTGACGTGCTTCAATGACCGGTACCTGGACCAGAAGTCTGTCACCATGGTAACTGGTGCTGTACCATATACTAGTATATTCATGTGTTTGAGTAAGAATAAACAGAGCAGTAGTTTGTTGGGCTAGCCCATGTGAAGGTAAACATGTATTTGCTTTGCAAATGTTACCTTTCTAGTTTGATTCCTTTTTTTACACACACACTACGCTACAGGAACTCCATGCCAGCTACATTGAATCACACCTGCTGGATCAGGTGCGGGTGGTTTGGACAGGACAGGTGCTACCTGTGTGGGTTCAGGGGAACACCTGCATTTTTGTGAAAATTGGCAAGTATTTCTTCTTTACTAACTACTAGACAAAATTTCTTCATGTAATTACCATTCTGTACATATATTAGTCTAATTCAACTTTTGAAAACATTAGAAATATCCTAGCCTGGGAGCCATCCATTTTTGTATCCAAAAAAACCGAGGGCAAGGAAGCCTGTTACAAAATGGATGGCACCCAAGCTAGAAATAGCCAAGTTTAAAACTTACCAGTAAAATTTTTGTTCCAACACAAAGGATTGTTCTCACCTAGAGCTTTCCACCAGTCACTCTGGTCTTCTTTGATAGACCAACCCAGATCTGACAAAAAGAGTGATTGGTCAAAAGCTATAGGTGAGAACAATCCTTCATGAACAAAAGTTTTTACTCTGGAATCTACATTGTACATGGAACTACCAAGAACACAGAAATGTACTTTCATGACAGCATAAGAAATAGTCATATATGTGTAGTAACTACTACACAAAAAAAACAGGCACTCAAGCAACTGGATATGATTTTGGTTAACTTTTGTTTCTTTCTAGTATTGAAGTATGTTTGTCTTCATTTTATTTGCGTATCAATCAATAATTTATTTTTATAAACTTGCTGATAGAATTTGAGAGCTCACCAGTGTTACTGACAAAAGTTAGTGAATGCTAACTGAAATGTCTGACCATTTCCAAAATCATATCCAGTTGCTTGAGTAACTGTTTTTTTTGGGCGTATCTTATTATAATTATTCCCTGTATGTCTAACCTTCACCAACGTAAATATCCAGGACAATTTTTTTTTTTAATCCTTTTTTAATCCTTTGCAGGTTTGGTGGAGCCCAGTGCATCTTGTGTCTGTCTCGGCCAGCTGACAGAACTTGTGGTGGCTCCTAGGACCAGACACGGTCCAAAATCCTCGCAAACAAGTCAAAACGCCTTCAACAATACCCAACAGAAGATGACCAAAGACATGCTTAACACACCGTCTTTAGAAGATAATATTTCTGACAAGACTGATTGTCTTCCAACAAAAACTACATCACATGATAGGGATCAAGCAAATATGGAAGATGATTCAACGAAATCATACCTTGGCGCATTTTGGTCATATCTTCTATCACTTGTTGGTAGAAAGAGCACGGAAAATGTTGAGAATGCCGGTAGAACTGGTTCCAAAAGACCAGATCGGCACGTGGTCTTTGATTTCGATTTTACGACCAGAGTGCAAGCATATCCTAACAGGTATGTGCAAGAAGCTGTGCAAAACAGGGATACAGAAACGGATGAATCAAATGTAGCCGGATTAGGTAGAAATGCTGGAAAAGGAAAGAATGAAAGTTCGTGTAGCCAGTACATGTTACCCGCACTTCTCCAGCCAACAACAGTCGTCATCCCAAAAGGTCTGTCGGTAAATCCTTCCGACTGGAAGAAAGAAGATGTCACAACGTTTCTTGCAGTTATGACCAAGATACAGTCCCCTCTAGAGCAACAAGAAGAGGCTAAGAAGAACTTACTCCAACAGGGAGCAGAAAGATTCACCTACGGGCAAAATCCTCCCAAAGGAAAGGATTCTAAGAAAGAAGTAGAGAAGCCGAAGAAGGGTATATCAAACGCAAATTCTTGTGTTGTACGTATAGTTACCTCAACTTGCCATGTTAGAACTATGGGCAAAAGTTCGGAAGGGGGTATTGTTGGAAAGGTCGGTTTGCAGAATGGAGTGGAGTCACAGGTGACAGAGTTGGTCAGGAGGCAGACTGGAGTGGGGGTGACGTCGAAGGCTAGAATGTCTCCCGTGAGGCATGAACCACTGGCTGTTCGAGGAATCATCCTTCACCCCCTCCACACACTGGTAAGTTAGTATCTCAAAATGTGTGGAACCTCTGACAGTGAGCAACACATTCACATTTGTACCAACCTTATCAGCAAAAAGTTGGCCTAAGGATACTGTGCTGCAATCTTGGCGGATGTACTACAGATTTCAGTTGTTTGAGGACAGTCACACCTTGAGCATGCTAAAGAACCTGCCACACTTATCTAAAAGAGCAGGGGACTTTCCCAATGTGAGTGGTTCAAACCTTAAGCTTCGGTCACAACCCGCCGTACGTGCTTCTGCGTGCTGTCTACATACAAAAACGTGGGCAAACGTAGGGGATCCGTGTGTGGTGAGTACCGCTTCCGTACGGAATCCTACGGATTTGGGAGCATGCAGATACATCATAGAACTTTAAGTGCATGTAAAAAATTTTCTGCGTGCGGTCTATGGATTCACCACCCGTGCGTGCGAGTATAGGCGACGTGTGTGCCCCGTACGTACCGTACGAAAGACGCACGTGTGAGTACGGCCTCCTTACGGTAAAGTAGCAATCGCACAGAGATCGTACGTTGTAAGCACGTACAACTCACCACTTCCGCAACATATGATGCATGCAACCGCTCACGGCCAAACGTGGCGTGCAGACCACACTCTTACAACTTGCAAAACCGTGCGAGTGACGTGCGTCGATGCCACTCCTTCCCCACGTTTTCAGAAAAAACGTAGCAGACGTAGCCTCCCAAAAAACGTACGGACAAAAAGCACGTACGGCGGGTTGTGACTGTGGCTTTACAGTCTGGAACCAGGTTTGACATCTCTGAAGAGGTCGCCTGTTATGTCAATTTTTCAACAAATGGGGTAAATCTTCAAACTTTACAAATACACGTATTATCCATCATGTCTATGTAGGAATTGTGTTTCCTTTTTTTTCTTCCCCAGCCTTCAAGCATAACAAAAGAGATGTTGGAGACAGCGTTCCACCATTGGCTGTCCTGTGTGAGTGATGTGAACACACCTCTGCCTGTCACACAGGGCACACTCATCAGGCTAGCCTTGTTCCAAGGTCTGTTATAGGATTGCACATGATATAATAACAGTGTGATGGTAGATAGGGAGAGAGTGATGGGAGTATACTAGGCCACAGCAATTGATTTTTATGGACAGGACAGATGATATTGTTAATTACAAGGATAATAATTTAAGACCTGTTGGTAGTGATATTATGTTTTCTTGCCTCAATTATTGTTTAACAAGGCTTATGACCTCAAAATTTGAAATTGAAGGAATCTTGTTGTTGTTTTTTGCCCACCTTGTTTTTTGCCCTATCGCTCCTGGGATTCGAACCCGGGCCGCAAGCTTGTGACCCTGATGCCATAAGTCCAATTGGACTAGGTCAGTTACTGGCGCTTGAACCCCTAGCCTCCATAGCATGCCAAAAACTCAGTTTTTTTTTGGGTGGGGGAGGGGTCAGGGTCTTTGGGAGCTTTTATGTGCTATTTTCTGATTGTATATAGACAACACACTGTAGCCGGCCTGGTTGAATTACCCCCGTTTTTTGAACTGGGCTAATCAGAAAACAGCCGAAGACCACCAAACCACCAGTTCTATAAGCCTGCTACGGAGGCTATTGAACCCCACTGTTACATATTCAATCTGTTACATTTTTGCTTGCCTCACATATGATAGCTACCCACTTACTGATTTTTTTTATCTTAATTCATTTTCACCCAGATTTGATGGCTGACTGTCTCCTTGTGCTGTCCCCACACCCCACCAAGCCCGCCCCCTCCCCAGTCTACACCCTCCTACACCCCGGCATGATTGGTACGGTCCGTCTGGAGGTCGGAGGTCAGATGACGGAGACAAACAAACCCAGCTGGCTGGACAGGCTTCCGTACGACAGCGAGCACCAAGTGGATGGGAAGGTTCATGTCGTCAGACTTCGAGATCTTGGGTAGGATTGATATTGTGTATTGATACATGTATACAGGGCTCAAAATTCATTTTTGGGAATAGGTGCACTGGTGCACCCAACCTAAAGAATTAGGTGCACAAAAATATTTTGGGTACACCATATATAAAACAAAACCTAATCACAGATCTTACTGCTCCTCATCTGAGCTTGAATCTGAAATGGGAGCTAACTTCAAAATCTTACACAAGTACTTCAGCAAAGATTTTATTTTCTGACACTTAGATGCCAACAATATCCTGCATAATTGGTAGTACAATATACAGTTGATATGTACAAAAATACCCACAAAAATATTTGGGTGCACCAGTGCACCCACATAAAAAAATTGGGTGCACAACTCCAAATTTAGGTGCACTAAGGTGCACATGCACTCAGTATTTCAAGCCCTGATACGTGTATATGATCACAGGATGTGACTGTGTAGATAAAGCCATGTTGATGTAACTATATGGATGACATCCTCTTGGAACCCCAAAACTGATGCGAGCGTGCGAATAAGAAAAGCTTTTTGGGGGGCAAAGGACGAAAATTCATGCACACGCAGATGTCAACCATACAGTATTATCAAATATAACATCGACTTACATGCATGTAGTGTAATTTGGTCTTCAGTCATACCTGTCTAAATAAAGCTAGGCAATTGAATTGAATATAATATTATACAATGTAGGCTGTACTCTGTACTCATGATCAATTTGATGATCAAAACATTCATCTTTCCTCTAACTGTAAGTCTTTTGACTCGAGGAACAATTGAAATGTAAGCTGTTGTTCTTTTGGATGTTTCAGGGGAGTTTCAGAAAGTGCAAAGCAAGCCATGGATCATCTCACCACAACCATGGCAGAGTGCCCCCTAGTGTCTCTGCTGAGTACTGCAACCCGAGGCCTGGCCAACGGTGGCTTGTTGCTCTGTGGTGCTAGGGGGAGTGGTAAGACAGTCCTTGCTCAGGCCCTCTGCAGGGAGCTTGCAGAACCACCCCACAGTGCTTACGTTTGCATTATCAACTGCAAGAGTCTGAAAGGGAAAAGAGTGGACAACATCAGGAAGAAATTAGAAGAGGCAGTCAGCAAAGCAACATGGCATCAGCCATCTGTCCTCCTATTGGATGATCTAGATCACGTGACCAGCAATGCGACCAATCCCGAGCAGGAGATGAGCGGAGAGGCCATGTACAGCAACCACCTGGCGCAGGTGGTCCGAGACATCGTGGAAAGGGAAATCCGCGCGGGGACCCGGCTCGCGCTCATCGCTACCTGTCAATCTAAAATCACTGTCCACCCTTCACTGATCGCATCAAGGGGTCTCCACATATTTCAGAGCATTGTCGAAATCAAGCCGCCAAATTCACAGCAGAGAGAAGAAATCCTACAAGCCATCCTGACGGCCAAAACAGCACTTGACTTGAAATCTTGGGAAACGGTGGAGCTCAAAGCTCTAGCCTCGCAGACAGACGGTTTTGTGGCTAGAGATTTAGAATCAGTCGTTGACAGAGCAATACACACGGTGGCTTCACAGGAGGCAAAACTTGGACACAAGAACGAAGAATTCAGCATCACAACGCAAGACTTTAAGGCAGCTCTAGAAGGATTTGTCCCTTCTTCCCTACATGGGGTTTCCCTCCATAAAGCGGAAGACTTGAGCTGGTCGGATGTTGGGGGGCTAGACGACATCAAACACACACTGATGGAGACGTTACAGTGGCCAACAAAGTACCCAGGTCTGTTTTCTAGCTGCCCGTTAAGACCGAGGTCAGGCGTTCTATTGTACGGAGCACCGGGAACAGGAAAGACACTCCTCGCAGGTAAACAAACTTCCAAGAATAGCCAATGTAGTCCCAAACCTCAAAAGAGTCATCAACCACAGATTCAGGCACTTACAAACACTTGCACAAATAGAGAGCAATAATGAGTTCTAATAAGTTGCTCTAAGATACAAAATGTATGAGAGATGCTTTGAAGTGCATATATTTTCATGTTTGTGAGATTATTAACCTACTAGCTTCATTTGAATCGATTAAGCGAGTGGTCCCATTGACTTAATTATGGGTTCACCACACCACGAAGTGGTGGTGAACCCATATTGCTTTTTCTGATGTTTCTTCTCCTCCTTCTCCTCCTTCTTCTTCTCCTGCCATTTTTTAAATGGATTCAGCTTCTTCATTTTAGGGCCTAAGGTCCTGAAATTTGGTATGGAGGTACAGTGGGCAAATACCCCTAGGCGTTTTTAAATTTTTGTGATACAGGCTTTTAGAATGGTTTTATTTGAGTTTTTTGGCTGTGTTATAGCAAATGTATTACTGTGTTAGTGTGCCGTGTTTACCACGTCTGGGCATGAGTCATCACAATGGAATGCAGGGCATCAACCAATAGGCATGCAGCTTTCCTCTATACTTCTTGCTGATTGGCTGTTGGGATTTAACTTGATTAACACCTGCACAGAGCATTTCCACCTGCACAGAGCATTTCTTGCTGATTGGCTGTTGGGATTTAACTTGATTAACACCTGCACAGAGCATTTCCATACTGACAGTATGTCTTTATTCAAGTGTTTTGGTAGGTATTTCAAGCTTTTCTGCTCCAGCATTGGAATGCGGGGCATGAACGTTTTTTTATTTATTTTGAAAATCAACAGTTTGCATTATGCAATTAAAAATCCTAACCAATAAAGTAGGGAATAGCTATCCAACTGTTGTTTTAGTTGTATGTTACTTCATATTATAGTTATATCAATGTAAATCATTGTTTTCCCTTGTGTTTCTCATTCTTTCCCTGCCATGTCGTAAAATGTGGTGAACCCATCGCTGTATTTGCTCCAAAGCAAATATTGGCCTTTCTAGTTTTATGGATTACTTCCTCCGAAGACCCCAAAACTAATTCAAGAGAGCAAATAAAATTCAGCCCCAAAAACTTTCTAAACCACTGAAATAGAAAGCTAGTATTAGCAAATTTGCAGTTTGTTGTACATATTAAGAACATTTTACAGTTGAAATATGGTAAAAAATGATTACCAAAAAAAAGGACACACTATCCTCAATGCCTGCAAAATGACTTCATTGTACCTACACTACTGCGTGTGCTATATTAGTATGCTGCACTGCATGCCCATAAATGTTTGAATAGTGGCCACCTTGGCCTGGGTAAGGATTGAAAATATAGATACAGCCTGACTGATCTCCGTGCCCCGGCCAGGTTAGTGAGGTCAGAACGGTTTATCGGCTAATGGCCACTTTTGCTCCAGGGGTCGTGGCCAAGGAGTGCGGAATGAACTTCATTAGCATCAAAGGTCCGGAACTGCTCAGTAAATACATCGGAGCCAGCGAGCAGGCCGTGAGGGATTTGTTTGTACGTACCCAGGCAGCCAAGCCGTGCGTGCTGTTCTTTGATGAGTTTGACTCTATTGCTCCCAGGTAAATTTTTTTTTGGGTTCGTGATATAGATTTTCTTTTTTATTTCATATTAGGCCATGTTGATTTGATTATATGGATGACATCCTCTGGGAACCCCAAAACTGATGCAATTGTGCAAATTAAAAAAAAGGCAAACAAGAAAAGAGTCGCCATCATTACATGACATTATAAAATCTACATGGTCATATGAAGGTCGAACTAATAACTGAACACACAGAATATTGCATGGGGAATAATAGACTCATCATTTTCATTTTTTCTTTTATTCATTAGTATCACTTTTGTTGCAATTTCCGGCATATACAGTATTTGCTCATTTTGCAGCTGCTTTGTACAGTTTGCAGTATGGTCAAAAACTTTTTTTTAACAGATCAAACTTCATGCACATGTAGATGTCAACCATATAATCAAATCAACATGGCCTAATTGACAAAATTGGGCGACAAAAGACCATTTTAGGGATTAGATGTTTAATACTACCGGATATCTGATATGTAAGAAAAAATGCTAAAAATGGCAGTAAATGACAATATCAGACACTGTCAGATTTTCTGTATCTGCATCTTCATAGCCGGAATAACCACCTTGTGGCGTAACACACCAGCTTCGCAGGCACGTGGCGCGGCGGCAGTTGACTATATTACACCGAACGACTTGTTACACCTACGTAACCCTTGAACCTCTAGCTTTTGACATTGTTTAAAGCTATCTAATAATGCCTCTACTGTACTTGGTGACAGCGAGTTCCACTCTGCCATATTTCTAGGAAAGAATAAATTCTTGAACACCTCAATCCTTAATTGATAACTCTGGTACTTGAAGGCATGGCTATTTCTTGTTCTCTTCTGGGCTGGTATTAGGTACTTAGTAATTGGGACGTCCACCAGTTTATTAGTCATTTTGTCCACCAAAAAGTCACCAAAGTTTTGTTGCTGTAGGAGGGGCCATGATAACACCGGTGTGACAGACCGTGTGGTGAACCAGTTCCTGACCCAGCTGGATGGAGTAGAGGGGTTACAGGGTGTGTACGTCCTCTCTGCCACCAGCCGGCCTGACCTGATCGACCCTGCCCTGCTACGGCCAGGCAGACTGGACAAGTGTCTCCACTGTCCACTACCTAACAAGGTCAGATATCAGGGGAAGGAATGAATTGGATAACAATAATTATTATAGTAATGTTGTAGAGTGCCAAAATCAACTCCAAAGGAAAAGAAGAAAATGTGAAGAAATAAAAATGAAGAGTCTATTATTTGCCATGTCATACTGTGCTTAGTTATATATCATTTGTTCAACCTTCATGGCCACATAGATTTCACAACAAAAAAAGGCAATTTTTTTTGCCAAAATTTTTTTAATCGTATATGCTTGCATCAGTTTTGGGGGTTCCCAGGGGATGTCATCCATATAATAAAATCAACATGGCCTCACAAGGTTTAGGGTTAGGGCTAGGGCTATTGTTAGGGTTAGGGTTTGGATTAGGGTTAGGGTTAGGGTTAGGATTGGGTTAGAGTTTGGATAAGAGATAGGTACCAGGGAGAAGGGTCAGGGTTAGGGTCAGGGTAGGGGTAGGGTTAGGGTTAAGGTTAGGGTTAGGCTTAGGCTTAGGTTTGGATTAGGGTTAGGGTTAGGATCAGGTTAGAGTTTGGATAAGAGATAGGTACCAGGGAGAAGGGTCAGGGTCAGGGTTAGGTACCTGGGAGAATGTTAAACTGGATGATGTACCTGGCTCTTATCCTTATATTTGCAGGAAGACAGAGTGAAAATCCTTAAGGCGCTGTCCAAAGACCTGACCCTGTCGGAAGATGTAGACCTGGACAGTCTGGCGGAGATGTGCCAACACTTCACCGGGGCAGACTTCAAGGCACTGTTCTATAACGCACAGCTGGAGGTCATCCATTCCAACATGGGGGTGTCCAGCCTGTATGGCAGGGGAGCAGGGATGGATGATTCCACTGGGGTGCAGGGGGTGCAAGAAGAGGATGATGAACAAGGTGCCAACCTTAAACACTGCAGTTTAGTAGCCTCTACCAGGCTTCGGGAGGCGGCTGCAAAGAGTAGCAAATGGCCAAGTAGAGAGATAACATGACAGAGGAGTTGGACCGCTAGAGAGTTAGAGAGTGCAGTTTGCCGCACCCAAACACTGTACTCACTACCGGACCAACTCCCCTGGCATGTTATCTCTTTATTTGGCCAATTTCTACTCTTTGCAACCACCTCCCGAAGCCTGGTAGAGGCTAGTAGTAGGTGTTTCTCCCACTTACAATTTCATTGTAAAGTTTATTGCAAGCTTCTGCCCAAAGGCAAATTGCAAATAACATGGACAAAAGAATGATGATCCACAGTACAAAATAACTATTAAATCTACATAATAAACAATATGTAATTGTCTGAAACTCTCTCTGAAAGATTTGACTTTTGGTTTGTAAATTTCATGGTTTGCCCACTTCATTTTTTTCTGATTTGAAAAAAAAAGATCACATGTAGCATCTATGCTGTCCACAGGTAAGGATAAGACAACATCTGTCTCAGAGATGGAGGCCAAAGTCATGCTGATGCCATCACTCCAGGAGGGCAAGGTCCAGGTACAACAAGACAGGCATGAAAAGCTTCTAGAGAAGGTGAGATATCCTTTTGTTGTGTTGTTAGTTCTGCTGTTTGGCATCTGTGGTGCAACGGTTAGAGTGTTTGACATGGAACCAATAGGTTCTGGGTTCAAAACCCACCATGCCCTGACTTTGTGCCCTTTAGAAGGACACTTTAAACTACATTTGTTGTACCTTCCCTGATGGTGGAGTGACAGCACCAACGACACCTTCAGCACTCTGGACTACTTTCAGCACTGAGCACAGCACCATGAGACATTGCACTGTTCCTAGCCTTGTTCTTGTTTTCTGCACCTGCTTTTTAGAACGTGAAAGACAGTGTTAAAACAGTCTGTCGCGGTACTGTCCTTGGTACTGAAAGTAGTCCATAGTACTGATTCGAGAAATTTTACTGTTGTAAAGGCTACCCAGGTGTTTATAAGATGAAATAAATAAATGAATAAAATAGTGTTGGAGCTACCGTAAGTCACGATTTTTTTTGCAGTATTTCATATTCGCGGTTTGGTTTCTATCACCTCTGTACCACAAACTTATCATTACCGTGATTGGCAGACTTTCTTTCTGTTTTTTTAACCTGCTGGCTGCTGCCATATCAACTATGATTATATTTTCTTCTGGACACAGGTTGCCATCATATGCAGAAACTGGGATGGAAATAATGAGGTAGGAAAAATGTTCACGGTTGTTTCCTGATCTTCGTAAATTGGAAATGCAATCCTTTGCAAAAATTGTATCGACACACACTGCTGCACATTTTTTTTTAGCACATTCAAATCAGCATTTCATACTTTGAGCATCTAAAAGTGCAGAAACAAGCCCCAAGATGAGTCTTTTATTTTCTGGGTGGTACCCTAAAAATTAGCCTAGGGCCCTTTCAGTAACAATTTTCCGTCAGAATTTTGGGAATTTTTGCTCCATGAGGGTTGATATACGTTGGGATAGTGTGGTTTCAGATCAGTATGTAGATAAATGACTAGAATACTGAATTTCAAAAATCGGGTTTCCAAGCCCTAAAAACTGGCATTGGATGTCTTTAAAATCATCAGTATGTCATTTACCCCAGATACAGTTGTTGCATGTATACAGTAGGTAGCTCTTTCTTGTCTATAAAACGCATGTAATTGTTTACATTTTGGATGGTTTTCAATTTAGGATTCTGCAGACAACACATCATCTGAGGAGTCATCCAAGGCCCCCATGATCCACCAGGAACACCTGATGATGGCAGCCTCCACAATGAGGCCATCTGTGTCTGAGACGGAAAGGATTAAGTACCGGATGATGTAAGTAAAGTTTGATGCCGTATTTTAAAAAAAAGATAGAATTGATAAACAATTCAGTGTCGTTGGTCTATCCACCTCAATCCAACAATTCCTCTCTCATATTACATGTACTTGTTTATTTTCATAATAATGTATACTAGTACCTGTATATTACACTGTACACTGTAACATGTAATTTTCTATGTGCCATGCAGTGTTGTAATGTAATGCTAGACCATGTGCAGGAAGACTAGCAACTATTTATATGTACGTAGTTGTAACAATTTGAGAATAGTAACAATTTATCCTAATTTCTGTAAACTTACAAAGTAAAACTATTCTACTACTTTTAACCAGCCCAAAACCTGCTTTACAAAAGATAAGTCAAACTTTTCAGACAGTTCCAGATGATTAGCTTTTATTATGTAGATTTCATTCTTTTTTTGTACCCTGTTTCACCATTCATTTGTCCATGTTATTTGCAATTAACCTTGAAAACTTACAATAAGTATTATTATTTAATATTGTAGATCTAAATAGACTCAAACTCCAACAACGTTACAATAGTAGTTCACTGAATGGAAAAAAAAAACTATGATGCATATTTTGATATTTCCTGACATTTCTTTCTCCCAGATATGAAAACTTCATGGAGAGCAGAGGAGGAAATTTCCAAAATATGCAGTCAACGTCCTTGAAGAAGACAACACTGGCTTGATCATTTGTTACTACTTTTTGTGGAAGACCTTGAAATGGAATCATAATAATTATTATCTTCTCAGTGCCCAGTACTAAGGCAGGCCAAAAAATATCCAAAAGCTGTTTTTTTACTACAGTATTCTGGTCTTATCAGTGATAATTATGTCCAAACAAAATTTATACCATTGCAAAAGGAACACATTGTTTTTGCTCTGTTTCTTCTTCTTCCCTTCCAAACACACAAGGTCAATGACCTAGACCAGACGTCTGTCACCATGGTAACTGGTGCTGTAGCAGACACCCTGTGGTGTTGGGTTACATTGTGTTGCAAGTGGCTAGACAGAGTTGGATTGTGTGGAAATATATAGTGTCACTATATATATGAAAAATGTGTTTGAGTAAGGATAAACAGAGCAGTAGTTTGTTAGGCTAGACCACAAAGGATAACATTTTATGCATTTGCTTTGCAACTGTAAGCTTCTAGTTTCACTTCTAAATTTGGAAGAAAAATGTCTTGTATGAGAGAAAGAGCTTTTGATGCCAAATCCCAGGGGAGAAAATTGCATTCTGTTTATAGAAAACAACAGATACAGTAGATGCTGTGCAACGTATTGTCATGTCACTGAATTCATTGCAATGTGCAATTGAACTCATTCTTCGCTTTAAATGAGTGATGACAAGGCTTTATAGGTGGTCTTGTGGTTAGGGTTGTTGACTCAGAATCCGATTCAAGATTTGAAGATTAACTGTGAATGCAATGAACGTGAAGACTTCTTGCATTACACCTTTCAGAAATACATGTAAGGCCATGTTGATTTGATTATATGGATGACATCCGCGCGCGCATGAATTTTCGGCCGTTTCCAAAAAAAATGTTTTCAACCATACTGTAAATCGTACAAAACAGTTGCAAAATGAGCAAAAATATACCATAAGTTACAAAAAAATTAATAAAAACTATACCAATGTCGTAGAATGCCAAAATCAAACGAAAAAAACGAAAATGTAAAGAAATGAACCTGAAGACTAGATTATTCGCCAAACCATATTCTGTCCCATTTGATTTGCTCAACCCTCATGACCACGTAGATTTCATAATGAAAAGAACTTTTTTTTTTTTGCAAAACTTTTTTTTTATTCGCATGCACGCGCGCATCAGTTTTGGGGCTCCCGGAGGATGTCATCCATATAATCAAATCAACATGGCCTAATAAGATGTGTAATTGAAAATTGCAATTGCCGTGACTTCCGGATCCAGCAATTTCCTCTCAATATGAAGTAATTCTGAGGTAATTCTGGCTGTTGCAGAGGCTTATCCTTGAGAAGTAATCTGATTTAGGCCATGTTGATGTGATTATATGGATGACATCCTCTGGGAACCCCAAAACTGTTGCGAGTGCGCGAATAAAAAGAAGCTTGGCAAAAAAGGTACATTGAAGTTCATTATGAAATACGTGGTCATGAAGGTTGTAAAAATGACAAAACACTCAAGAGTTTGGTTTAATTTTGGTGGATGAAAGACTCTTCATTTTCATTTCTTCACATTTTCTTCTTATATTTCTTTCAGTTGTTTTCGGCTTACTATATGACCTTATTATGATTTTCCAGCGACATTTCTTTTTACCCCACAGATATCTCTCTGCTATGGGATAGGATTGATTCAACCTATTACATTAATAGATTGACCAGGAAAATGAAATACCAGTTTTGCCGCTCTGAAATTACATTGGATGTCTTTAACGTGAAAATGGCTTAATCTATCTATAAAGATTGACCAGGAAATTGACTTTGAAAAACCAGTTTTGCCGCTTTGAAATTGCATTGGGTGTCTTTAATGGCTTAATATATCTATAAAGATTGACCAGGAAATTGACTTTGAAAATCCAGTTTCGCCGGTCTGAAATTGCATTGGATTCCTTTAACCAAGGAGGTTCAAACAAGGGTACGAGTACCTAAGATTACCTGAGATAACATAAGAGTATTGAACCTCCTTGCTTTAACGTGAGGACGGCTTAACATATCTGGCAGCTGGGGTTTAGGCGATTGTAGAATGTTTTTAGAGAAACATCACTCAGCTGCTAGTAATCCGATCTTAAACAGTGTTGAAGATTAAGTGATTTTTGTACATCCTGTTCCCCCTATTATATACTGTGACCCCCCTTCCCCCCCGCAAGCAACGTACTAAAAAGAAAAAGGCCGATCAATGCAAACACTTAAGTAGCCTTGTAGCTATAGGGCAACCAATGGCTTTTCTGAAAGAAGTTTACTTAAGACCCTGTACCAAAGAAGCTGCTTACACATAGTGCCACGTAACTGACCACATTACTGGCTGGCGATGGTTGCTAATATCTGGAGGTTCCAACTCTCCCATGCAAAGGCCCAGTACAAGTAGGTAATTTTTCCCATTTATACTATGGACATATGAATACAGGACGAATGCCATTTTGTAATAGAATATGGACTGTATAGCATAGAGAGAAATGTACTGTTTAGGTTTGTACAAATCTGATTTCCCTTTAAGCACTGTAGAAAAGTTCTATCGAAAAACATATCAGTTCTTTTATTTCTACAATAAAGGAAAAGCGACGAGAAGTTGTAACGATAGTTATAGTTTTGTTTTGTATCTGTTGAGCGGTTGCCTTCAGACATATATTGCCAATTTTGGTTCAACGGTTGTCCTTGTTAATGTTATATAATAATATTACTAAAGGCCAAGTTCTTCTTACTTAAACCAAAAAGTCCCTTGAATAAAATGACATACATTTACATTTTACCTACCGTCTTCCAGGCACGGGCCATGGAAACGTCGAATATAGGAATGTTGTACCAGCTTGTTTATTTTTTATGCAAACTATACTTCCATTTCAAATCCAACAGGTTTGAAACGCGACGAAAAGTCTAAGACGTTCACGCTAAGATGAGGATCTTAAGGCGCACCCGAGGCTCCTTCTGCCTGGTCCTGACTGCCGGCGTCCTTCTTTCTTTCGGCTACATCCTTGTGGCACCAAGTAATCCACGGGAAGCCAAGAATAAAAACGCCGATCGTTTGAACACGATTCCCATTTCCACCGTTATGGACCACGAAGAGATACGGGGAGATTCCTCTTCTTTTCCGGCTTCTTACCTCTCAACACACGAGGTCGATAAATTCGATAACGAAGACTCAACAGGAACAGAGGAACGTAACGCAGTAAACAATTTTAACGCAGAATCAAAAAACAGCGTGCCTACAACAGAGTTAATCGATCGCGACACGGACGTACTCAGAATAGAAGAGGCCACAGTGCACACGGAAGTCGGCCAAGATGGGAAACCTGTGCAAACGCTAACGCGGCCTTCACGAAACTTCAACAATGATCTCCGTAACGAAGCAGGCGTTACTGAGGTCCGGGTCAGCAAAAGAAAAACTGGTGGAGAACTCGCCAACGAGCATCCATATGGGCAAACATATTCCAAGGTTGAAAACGTCAACGAGAGGTCTTTCCCTGCAACAATAAGGCGTAACAGTGCACAGAAAAGAAAAGTTGACAGCGATGGCGAAGCTCGTAAGTACAGTCAGGAACAGCCGTTGTGCAAGTACCCGGATCTACAGATGCAGAGTTCAGAATTCAACTACCTCTTTGAAAACATAACAGACCTGTACTGCGGACATCACTCTATCGACTACCTGACATATTTAGACGAAACCTCTCGGACAGAAGAATCTCCTTGGGATCTAATCAAACTAAATTTCAGCGCCATTTTACCAACACAGAAATTACTCAACTGTACGTACAGCAAAGTCACGAGATTCGATGATTACCAAGTTCTCTATACCACTTTGCACACAGAGGTGTTTGTGTCCAACGAAAGATCTTTGCAATTTACATTCAAAGATCAGTTTGCTAAGGTTTCTTGTTTCTTGGAAGAGAATGTTTTTAACCAAACACAACAAGAATGGGTCAAAGTTATTAGGGAACACAACAATATGTTCGTACAGGTAGTAAGGAATGAGAATCTGGTTGAAGACAAAAGGGCAATCATTGAGAAGGAAGGCCGAATGAAGAAGGCCCTTGGACATGGTATGAACGTACTCATGGTCGGAGTGGACTCAACTTCACGAATGAACTTCATGCGAAAACTGCCACAAACGTTCAAATATTTCACAGAAACATTGGAAGGTCACGTCCTAAAAGGTTATCACGTAATTGGTGATGGCACAACGGCTCAGTTCCTCGGCATGTTGTCAGGGTTTCACGAGGAAGAACTACCCAACGCGAAAACGGGAGTTGCCAATTCGACAACCTGTGACGTATTTCCCTTAGTCTGGAAGAAGTTTAGAAGGATGGGGTACACGACAATGCACGCCGAGGACGAAGCATGGACAGGGACGTTTACATTTCGTATACGGGGTTTTGAAGAGCAGCCAACCGATCACTACATGAGGACCTTCTGGGTAGCCCAAGAGCAACTCCCCGAGTCTGATGAGTGGTACTGTTTCGGTGCGACTCCTAAGCATCACTACACCCTGAAGTACGCCCGAGAATTTGTAGAAGCGTATCACGACATCCCCAAGTTTGCCATTGCGTTTCACACCGAACTCAGTCACGACAGTCTAAACATGGTGCAAGTTGCCGACCAAGACATCCTGACACTCATCAAATCCTGGAAGGATAAAGGTTATCTCGACAACACCGTTTTCATCCTTTTTGCTGACCATGGAGCCCGCTACGGTGGCCTGAGAAAGTTTCTTCAGGGACGGCTGGAGGAAAGACTGCCGTTCTTTGGTATCGCCGTTCCACCTTGGATGAAGGAGAGACATCCCGAGATCGTTCAAAACCTCAAGAAAAACGAAGAACGTCTCACGACCGCGTTTGACTTCCACAAGACGCTGCAGCACATCATGGACTACCCAGGCGACCCGTCTATTTTCCAGGGACACGGCATCAGTCTTTTTCAGGAGATCCCGCTCAACCGAACATGCGAGGACGCCTCCATAGCTGATCACTGGTGCACCTGTCTGCAGTCCGTACCGGTGGACATACGGAACAAAGTAGTCCGAGAAGCAGCGGAATTTGCCGTTTCCTATATGAATCGTTTAACAGAAATGCACCGAAGCCTTTGTGCTGTGTTATTCCTAAAGAACATAACTCACGCAGAAGTTGTTAAACCCAACCAAAAACTATTACAGTTTGCTGGCAGTGACCGGATGTTTCGAAACGCCTTATTTGGCAAAAACCTTGATGTTCCTTTCCTGGATTTTCGAATAACGCTGGAAACTGGACCCAATGGCGGGGCATATGAAGTGTCAGTAAAGAAATGGCTGTCTGATAATAGGGCTGAGATAACAGGGGACATCAGCCGCATCAACGTGTACGGAGACCATCCCAAGTGCATACAAGACAAGTTTCCTCGTCTGAGGAAGTATTGCTTCTGTAAAGAGTTTCTTGAACATGTTCCCCCTGAGTAAATTGGCAAAATAGAGAACTAGAGAGTCTATGATCATCTGCAAGTTAGAAATCAACTTAATCTGTGTAAGAACGGTCTCATGTCGGGATAACAGCATGAGACGACTTTGAATACGGTGGAAGACGAGGCGCATTTTATCTAGAATTGTACTCTCTATATCAGAAGTGAACTCTTTGACGCAGCCTCCAAATTCTTCCCTTTTACGCATATACAAATGAAAATAACTCTCCGCGTAACATCCAAAACCCACAAATTACAGAAAAAGTGGGATCTTTTGTCTTCCCCTGTCTTCAAAAGGGAACTCAAACCCAGTAATTTTTAGGAGCTAACAGTAGTTCTTCGTTTATTATACCAAATGTTTCTTCTGTACTTGCAATTAACCCTCGGGCATGAATTTCCAATAAAACAATTATAATAAAATGGAACACTGCTTGGATGTTCATCGTCATCAGTGATGACATATGGATAGATGGAACCATGAAATGAAACATAGCAGTACATATCCACCCATATTTCATAATTTAACAAGCTGAACATCACAATACTGGTACTTCAAAAACAACCTAAGAGTTCTGTCATGACCGCCTAACGATGGCTTATAGATATACCAAGCCGAGAGATTCTGTACGAACAACTATGAAAGGGTGCTAAGCAGCTAGTGTTACAGAAATGAAAAGAAACGTACAGTTGGTATCACTGGAAGACAGGAGAAAAATACCCATGATGTATAAAATGACTAACGTAAAAACAGTGGACGTCCCAACCAGTAAGTATCTAATACAAGCCCAGAAAAGAACAAGAAACAGTAATGCAGACGACACATCATCTGAGGAGTCATCCAAGGCCTTCATGATCCACCAGGAACACCTGATGAAGGCAGCCTTGACACTGATTTAAGTAAAGTTTGAAATTTCCTGTTTTTTCAACAGAAAATGATAAAAAAAGGAAAAGAAATTGATAAACAATTCAGTGTCACTTGTCTATCTACTGCAATCCACCAAGTTATCTCTTATTACTTGTTTATTGTTAATTGATAAGTGTACTTATATCATTGTCGGTTTTTGTATACTGGTATGTGGTATTTCCCTGTGTGTTATGTAGTGTTGTATATAATGTGTAAGACTACAGGAAGAATAGTAACTATGTATAAATAAATAAATAGGCCTAATTGTAATAATTTAAGAATAGTAATAACTAAGCCTAACTTCTCGAAACTTACAAAAAGTTTTTCTTCTTTTAAACTAGTACCAAAAACAAAACAAATTTTGGAAAGGTGGGACATTAGGTCTTACATGTACATGGTTTACAAAGAGAAGTCAAACCCTTCAGACATAATTCCTAACAATTGTCTTTTATTGCGCAGACTTTCCATAGTATTTCATAGTATTTTGTTTTATTGTATTATGTTATTTGCAATTAGCCTTTGTGCAGGAACTTGCAATAAACTTCACCGGTATTGTAGATCCAAATAACATTATTCTTCTAGTACTTGTAGTTCAACATGTAGCGTGACACAATGTATAATTTGTAAATGTTGATGCTTCCTGTCATTTCTTTCTCCCAGATACGAACAGTTCATGGAGAGCAGAGGAGGAAATTTCCAAAATATGCAGTCAACCTCCTCCAAGAAGACAACATTAGCTGCATATTTTTTACTTACGTTTTATTGGAAAACCTACTGTGTGTGTGTGTGTGTGTGTGTGTGTGTGTGTGTGTATGTGTGAATGAATTAATGTTGGTAAGTACAAACGGCAGTAGTACACACTATGTGAATGTAAACATTGTGCATTTGTTTATGTTTCTTTCTTCGTTGTCAACACTTTTCCTTTGCGGTTTTTCCTTCACGACTTTTAGGTAGTAGATAGCTTTTGCACTCTGAAACAAGTGACCTAGGTATTGGCCTCATAGCAGCTTAAAACTACAGCGGTTGTCATAGCCCATATTTCTTGACGTCCTGTTTTGCAATTTAGTCCAGACGTTGAAGAAACTCTATGCAGAAGCAATACTTCCTAAGAGGAGGAAACTTGTCTTGTATGCACTTGGGGTGGTCTCCATACACGTTGATGCGGCTGATGTCCCCCGTTATCTCAGCCTTGTTATCAGACAGCCATTTCTTTACTGACACTTCATATGCCCCGCCATTCGGCCCAGTTTCCAGAGTTATTCGAAAATCCAGGAAAGGAACATCGAGGTTTTCACCAAATAAGGCGTTTCGAAGTTTCCCTTCACTGCCAGCAAACTGTAATAGTTTTTGGTTGGGTTTAACAACTTCTGCGTGAGTTATGTTCTTTAGGAATAACTCAGCACAAAGGCTTCGGTGCAATTCTGTTAAACGGTTCATGTAGGAGACGGCAAATTCCGCTGCCTCTCGGACTACTTTGTTCCGTATGTCCACCGGTACGGACTGCAGACAGGTGCACCAGTGATCAGCTATGGAGGCGTCCTCGCATGTTCGGTTGAGCGGGATCTCCTGAAAAAGACTGATGCCGTGTCCCTGGAAACTAGCCGGGTCGCCTGGGTAGTCCATGATGTGCTGCAGCATCTTGTGAAAGTCAAACGCGGTCGTGAGACGTTCTTCGTTTTTCTTGAGGTTTCGAACGATCTCGGGGTGCCTCTCCTTCATCCAAGGTGGAACGGCAATACCAAAGAACGGCAGTCTTTCCTCCAGCCGTCCCTGAAGAAACTTTCTCAGGTCACCGTAGCGGGCTCCATGGTCAGCAAAAAGGATGAAAACGGTGTTGTCGAGATAACCTTTATCCTTCCAGGATTTGATGAGTGTCAGAATGTCTTCGTCGGCAACTTGCACCATGTTCAGATTGTCGTGACTGAGTTCGGTGTGAAACGCAATGGCAAACTTGGGGATGTCGTGATACGCGTCCACAAATTCTCGGGCGTACTTCAGGGTGTAGTGATGCTTAGGAGTCGCACCGAAACAGTACCACTCATCAGACTCGGGGAGTTGCTCTTGGGCCACCCAGAAAGGAACCATGTAGATTGTAGTGATCGGTTGGCTGCATTCGAAAGCCTCGTGTACGATATGTGAACGTCCCTATCGCTGCATCGTCCTCAGCATACAGTGTGGCGTACCCCATCCTACTGAACTTCTTCCAGACTAACGGAAATACGTCACAAGTTGTTGCATTTTCAACGTCCCTTTTCGCATTGGGTAGTTCTTCCTCGTGAAACCCTGACAACATGCCGAGGAACTGAGCCGTTGTGCCGTCACCAATTACGTGATAACCTTTCAGGACGTGACCCTCCAGAGTTTCTGTGAAATACTTGAATGTTTGGGGCAGTTTTCGCATGAAGTTCATCCGTGAAGTTGAGTCCACTCCGACCATGAGTACGTTCATACCACGTCCAAGGGCCTTCTTCATTCGGCCTTCCTTCTCTATATCTACCTTTTTCTCTTTAACCAGGCCCTCATTCCGTATCACTTGTACGAACATGTTGTTGTGTACTCTAGTAACTTTTACCCATGCCTGTTGTGTTTGGTTAAAGACATTCTCTTCTAAGAAACAGGTGACATTAGCGAATTCGTCTTTGAATGGAAACTGTAAAGTTCTTTCGTTGGACTCATACACCTTTGTGTGCAAAGCGCTAACGTGTACATAGTAGTCATCCCATCTCGTGATTCTACTGTACGTACAGTTGAGTAATTTCTGTGTTGGTAAAATGGCGCTGAAATTTAGTTTGACTAGATCCCAAGGAGATTCTTCTGTCCGAGGGGTTTCGTCTAAATATGTCAGGTAGTCGACAGAGTCATGTCCGCAGTACAGGTCTGTTATATTTTCAAAGAGGTAGTTGAATTCTGAACTCTGCATCTGTAGATCCGGGTACTTGCACAACGGCTGTTCCTGAATGTACTTATGAGCTTCGCCATCGCTGTCAACTTTTCTTTTCTGTGCACTGTTACTCATTATTGTTGTAGGGAAGGACCTCTCGTTGACGTTTTCAACCTTGGAATATGTTTGCCCGTATGGAGGAACGTTGGCGAGTTCATCACCAGTTTCTCTGTTGCTGACCCGCACCTCTGTAATGCCTGTAATTGCGGCCTCTTCTAATCTGAGTACGTCCGTGTCGCGATCGATTAACTCTGCTGTAGGCACGCTGTTTTGTGATTGTGCGTTAAAACTGTTTACTGTTATACGTTCCACAGTTCCTGTTGAGGTTATGTTGTGAGTTGAGTAGGAAGAAGCCATTCTTGGAAGAGAAGAGGGATTTCCCCGTATCTCTTCGTGGTCCATCTGGGTGGAAATGGGAATCGTGTTCAAACGATCGGCGTTTTTATTCTTGGCTTCCCGTGGATTACTTGGCGCTACAAGGATGTAGCCGAAAGAAAGAAGGACGCCGGCAGTCAGGACCAGGCAGAAGGAGCCTCGGGTGCGCCTTAAGATCCTCATGTTCAAGTCTTAGACTTTTCGTCGCGTTTCAAACCTGTTGGATACGAAATTAAATGGAAGTAGTTTGCAAAAATAAATAAATATATATATATATATATATATATATATATATATATATATATATATATATATATATATATATATATATATA